CTTCTGATTTCTGGAAGAGTTTGCAAGAGGCGTTGGGATCTAAGTTGAGGTTGAGTTTAGCGTATCATCCTCAGACGGATGGTCATACCAATAGGACTATTCAGTCATTGGAGGATCTGTTGAGAGCATGTGTTCTTGAGCAGGGAGGTTCGTGGGATACTTATCTTCCGTTGATTGAGTTCACTTACAATAACAATTACCATTCTAGTATTGGGATGACACCTTTTGAGGCGTTGTATGGTCGGAGGTGTAGGACTCCTTTGTGTTGGCATGAATCTGGTGAAAGTATAGTACTTGGACCTGAACTTGTTCGTGAAACTACTGAGAAGGTGAAGTTGATTCGAGAAAAGATGAAAGCTTCACAAAGTAGACAGAAGAGTTATCATGACAAGAGAAGGAAAGATTTGGAATTCCAAGCTGGTGATCATGTGTTTTTGAGAGTCACATTTGTGACTGATGTTGGGCAAACTCTGAAGTCTAAGAAGCTCACTCCTTGTTTTATTGGTCCGTATCAGATTTCAAAAGAGTGGGAAATGTTGCTTATAGAGTGGCTTTACCACCTAATCTTTTGAATTTGCATGATGTGTTTCATGTGTCACAACTCCGAAAGTATATTCCTGATCCGTCTCATGTGATTCAGATGGACGATGTGTAAGTACGGGATAATCTCACGATGGAGACGATGCATGTGAGAATCGTAGATTGCGAGATGAAGATTCTAAGAGGAAAAGAGATTGCATTTGTGAAGGTTGTCTGGTTAGGTGCTGCTGGTGAGAGCATGACCTGGGAGTTGGAGAGCAAGATGCGAGACTCCTATCCCGAGTTATTTGAACCAGGTAAACTTTTATTTTCGAGGACGAAAATATTCTAAGTGGGGGAGAGTTGTAACGTCCCGGTATTTAATTATTTATTTAATTAAATATTTTGAATATTTGTTTGTTAATTCAAATTTTTATCGTCGAAGTCGGAATTATTTTATTAAGTTGGAATAATAATTAATCAGATTTAATTTGGCAGAATTAAGTTAAAGTGTTATTTTATTATTAAGCTTAAATATGAATTTGGGCTTAATTGGTGGTATTGTGTAGTAATAGAGGGGTATGTCTTTTTAGGCCCAATTGAGTTTTTTTAAGATTAAATATAATATACCTATTATATTAGAAATAGAAGTAGAGGAAATACGAGAGAGTATTGTATCAGGAAGAAAAGAACAAAGAAGAAAAATAGGGTTTGGGAGAGGAGAAAAAGAACAAGAGGAAATTTCTTCAAGTGCCAAATTTCCCAAAAATTCGGTTGAAGTCTCTTAAAGCTGCTCTTAATCCAAGGTAAGGATGGGGTTCTGACTCTATAATAGGGTGTATAATTAATAGTATGTGAATTTGGGTTATGAAAATTTATTTCTAGTGTGTTTGAAATTGGTATATTGATGAAATTGAGAGATGATTTAAGACCCAATGTAATTAGATATACATATATTAAAGTACCTTAGTATTTTTCTTTGCAAAAATTCCAATTTTCTGTATACTGTAGCGTTGAAAAGAATTAGTACTTGGAGATATATTAACTGCATACTGTAGCGTTGGAAAGAATTAGTACTTAGAAGTTATATGCTTGTTGTTACTGTAGCGTTGGAAAGAATTAGTACTTAGAAGTTATATGCTTGTTGTTACTGTAGCGATACAAAGAATAAAGTAGTATATAGAAGGATTGTTTTATTCCTGTAGCGCAAATGAGATAAAGTAGCATTGGTAATACTTGCTTCGCTACTGTAGCGATATATTAAGAAGTAGTATTAAAGGCATTTGTTTTGGCCACTGTAGCGCTGAATGAAGTAGTATGTAGGTGAGTTAAATTGGAATACTATAACAATGAAATAAATTAATATGTAATAGGCATTTGTTCTGTTCCTGTAGCGCATAGGTTATAGTAGCATTTGGAGTATCCACTTGCTTGCTGTAGCGATAAACACAAAGTAGTATTTAGAAGCACTTGGTTGCTTACTGTAGCATAATATATAAAGTAGTACATTAAAAGCATTTGTTTTGCTTACTGTGGCGTTGAGGTGAAGTGATATTGAGAAGTAATTAGCTGCATACTAGCGCAAGAAAGAAGTATTATTTTATGGCATATGGCTGTATACAGTAGCGCCTAGAATTGAATTAACACTAAATGACATTTGTCCTGTTCCTGTAGCGCAAAGCTGAAGTAGTATCTAGGAGAATTAATTGTTTTGCAATACTGTAGCGAATTTAAGAAGTAATTACGTCCCGGTTTATAAATACAAAACATTTAATAATAATGATTTAATATCTTTAATAAATAATTTTGTAGGATTTATAAAGTAGAAATAATAGAAATTTTGGCCGATAATTAATTAACCGATTTTAGCCAAAATAGTCCGAATAATTATGCGGTTTATTGTAGTAATTTTGGTTGATTTGTTGGATGGCATTTTTGTTGAAAAATATGAATTTACAGGTGATTTAATTGCCTCCATTTATGGGCAAAATATTAAGTTGCAGGCTTATGGCCAATGTTGAGTTAAGTTGAATTTTTGTTGTTGTTGTTACGTTCATGTCGTTAATGCATACATAGCATATCACGTTGGAGCTGATGCTCGTCAAGTTGGCCTGGATTGGCAAATATAAAGTTGAAGGCTTATGCCTTGTTGATGTCTTTATTTATTGGCAGATTTCTAAGTTGGGAGTTATGCTTCATTGGTACCACATGCATGTGCATAAAGACGAGTCGCATTTCATGTTGCATTCTGAGTTGTCGTGTGGATGAATTAATTATGTTGAATATTGATGAAAAGCTGTGAAGTGGTGAATTGTATGATCTAATTCTAATATATTATTTATTGTATATCTGATTATATGGTTCGATATCTCACCCATTTTGTTTGAATGTTACTCTCTGTTGGTAACGTGCAGGTAATCAAGAAGGTTAGTTGTTACCCTCGTTAGTTCGAGTCGGTGTTGTCGCTCTAATACGTAGCACTCGGGGGGATGAACACATGTTTTCCTTATTGTTGATTTTCATTATGTTATTGAATTTTTAAGTTGTTTTCATTAAAAGACTTGTTGTCTTAGAATTGTTTTGAGTTGGATAAGATGTTATGGTGTTTCAGTTGAATTTTATGAATCTGCTCCATAGTAATGAAAGTTGTTTTATTTTTAAAGACTAAGCTGGTTGTTATCGGTTCATCCGAAGCTCATGTGTTATGTATATGAACTATAGATGCTTGAATATCGTAGTTTCAAGTTGAAAGTGTAGCATTCCATTTGTTTGTTGGAAATTTTTATAACTCTGATTTTATTTAACTCGTTGGATAGAAATGGGGTGTTACAGTTACAAGATGTACCACTTATCCTTAAAATCACGAAAATAATCCATATACATCCTGAATAACCTCTTCGACTGTTTAAGGGATACCCAACTATGTTTCCCTCCCCAGAACTGCCGTTGCAGGTGAAAAACCCTGAAGAACAAGGGAATGGTCGCCCCGATTCTCAGGAACTGACATGTAAGTTCGAATGCTCAAATAAAGGCGATAGCATTGGGATGAAGCTGTGAGGGTGCCAAGTTCAAGTGATTGAACACCCCCATTTGGAAGTCGTTGAAGGGAAGTCAAAGTCTCAGGTCTTTGAACACGACCTCGTACATAAGGAAGACATCTTGGGTGAACTCCGAGCATATGTAAGCATCTTACGTCGACCTCATGACTTTGAAATTTCTTTGAAAACCTTCCTGGACGCCGCCATACTCGACGACTGTATAGGCTGGCCTCCTGGTATGACTATAGATCGAGGTTATTCCTCGGGGTTCTGCACCAACCCAATCCAAAGTAGGATCGTCGACTGTGTCGACCAAATTGATGCTCTCCTCGGCTGCAATGGTTCCTTCGGTGTCCATATGCTCCGATGACTCGGGAGTGTCGGCCATCTACCTACAAAGCACAGGAAACCAATGAATTCAACAACAAATCCAAATCCACCTTTCTACGATGCAGATGAAGAGGCTAAGCAATGCCTAAACCAAGTCGACATTCATTCACGCATAAATGGGGAATACATGTCTCTCGACCGCTCCATGAAAATATTGCCAAGTCTTATAAGATCACACAACAATCACAAGGACGAATATTTACACGAATACACCGGGCACATGAAGATCGTGTCCATATCCTCTTGATCTTGCAGAATAATTCATCCAGGTAGGGGATCACGTGCGGGTCCCCACTACTCACGTAGGACCTGACAGTCTCCATGTTGGGCCTATTTAACCAGCCCAGTGGGGAGACCTTGGCCTAGTGCTGAGGGCTATAAATACCCTTTCTTACGAGAGGGTCAGATATTGAACATTTCTTACTCATACTTGCTTGCTCATTCGGGAACTTACTTTGGCATCAGAGTGTCTTATAGATACCCCCACCTCACTCTCAAATTCTGTTCGGAGTAAGCTATGACGGTCCATTCATATCAGATACGATCACAAACTAAAATGTCTTTGTTAAGAAGAGATTTAATTGCATCATTTATTTTTTATTTTTTAAATTTAAAAATAATGTACTATCAGTGTAAAATAATTTTTTAAATATAATAAATTAAATTTTTTATATTTATAATGTGATTTCAATATTTTAAAAATAAAATTAAGATGTTTATAATACACATTTTTCATTAATTAACGCCGTAAAAGTATACTCCGGATGCATATTCTTTTTCCTCTTATTTTTTTTTGGTCACGAGGTAACGTAAAATTTAGATTATACAATGTTTTTGTATTAGTAATATAGTTGAAAGGATTAATTAAAAAAAAATCTAAATTAGTAAAACTAAACGTGATACAAAAAGAGCTAAACATTGTATAATCTCCTCTTTCTTTCTTCGTACTCTGGATTCGTTCTCGCTCCCATTTTGGCGGCAAAATTTCGCAGGTTTTCTTCATAATTCATATGAACATTCGCTGACCCAGTTAATCGAGTGAGAGAAGCAGCAATGTCAACCGAATCGAAAATCATCAAACCTATCGCTAAGGGAATCGTTCACAGAATATGTTCCGGTCAAGTCATCCTCGACCTCTCCTCCGCCGTCAAAGAACTCGTCGAAAATAGCCTAGACGCCGGCGCCACCAGCATCGAAATCTCTCTCAAAGACTTCGGCGAAGAATGGTTTCAAGTCATCGATAACGGTTGCGGCATTTCACCAAACAGTTTCAAGGTATTACTATATTATTATTATCATCATCATCATCAATCCCTGTGTTAGGGTTTTGAGTCTATTTTCATTATTGCAGGTTCTTGCACTCAAGCATCATACTTCGAAATTATCGGAGTTCCATGATCTTCAGTCTCTTACTACTTTTGGATTTAGAGGAGAGGCACTGAGTTCTCTTTGTGCTCTTGGAAACTTGACGATTGAAACGAGAACCGCGAACGAACAGGTTGCTACGCTCTTGACATTTAACCATTCCGGTGCTCTGGCGGCTGAAAAGAATACTGCGCGACAAGTTGGAACGACTGTCACTGTTAAGAAGCTTTTCTCCAATCTTCCGGTGAGAAGCAAAGAGTTTAAGCGGAATATTCGTAAGGAATATGGCAAGTTGGTTTCTCTCTTGAATGTGAGTGATTGTATGGTTTTGGAATTTCTCTATTGTCTCTATTGCTGCAATTTTTTTCTTCTGTTTTTAATGAGTTTGTTAATATGATATATTGTTTCTGTTGAATGTTCTTCAGGCATATGCCCTTATTGCAAAAGGTGTTCGGTTCGGCTGTACTAACACGACTGGCAAAAATGCAAAGTATGTGGTACTTAAAACACAAGGAAATGATTCTCTAAAAGATAACATTATAACAGTGCTTGGCATGAATACTTTCAATTGCTTGGAACCCATGTCATTGTGTATATCTGAGAGTTGTAAAGTTGATGGTTTTCTTTCCAAGCCTGGACTGGGTAATGGAAGGAATTTGGGAGATAGGCAGTATTTTTTTGTAAATGGTAGACCCGTGGATATGCCCAAAGTCGGTAAACTTGTGAATGAGTTGTATAGAAGTGCAAACTCTAAACAGTATCCCATTGCAATCTTGAATTTTTCAGTTCCGACGAAAGTGTATGATGTCAATGTCACTCCTGATAAGAGGAAAATATTTTTTTCTGAAGAAACTTCTTTGTTGCAAGCCCTGAGAGAGGGCTTACAACAAATATATTCTCCCGATAACGCCTCTTATGCTGTCAATGAATTTATGCAGCCTGTAGTGAAAGAAAACTGCCTTGAGTTGTGTTCCTCTCAAAAGAAGTCTCCTTTCGTAACAAAACCTTCATCCCTAAGTGGCACTCTTCCTTGTGAAGACCATTATACCGAGTGCGAAACTGGTAGTATTTCTCGGGATAAAGATAATGCTGACTGCAACACTGATAGTATATCTCACTATGAGCATAAGGAGAAACACACCGCTGATTCTAAAGATGCTTCTGAATCTGATGACGACGGTCTATTCTCAGAAGAAAGGTTGATTCGTGAGAATGTTGGGGGTTCAATGGGCCAGGAGTTCACACTCAGAGTGCACAAATCTTTAAAGGGTGATGCAAGTGGAAGAAAGCCAGCATCTGTGCACAGTTCTTGGCGCAATCAATCTACCCGGGTCTCAAAGACTTTCGAGAGTGGGGGCTCTTTTAGTCAATATTCATCTGATTCATCAAGACATGTTCAGTCAACTCTTAACAATTTTGTTTCTGTGAGTAAAAGAAAACATGATGACATCATTACAGCCTTATCTGAAGTGCCTGTTCTCAGAAATCAAGCTCCACAACATCAATTGAAGGCTGCGAATACTGAAACTAGTGACTCGATAACAAGATCATATCTTCATTTGGACCAAATCAATGAAACTTCTAAGCCGAGTCAGACTGAAAATTTGCAGCAACTTAATCCTGATAGCATCAACCACAAAAGTGTGAATTCTCCATCTTTTAGAGATGGTTCTACTGACAGAGAACCCGGCATGGTATGTTTGTTTCCAGTCAAGCATTCCAAAGCTTGGTTTGAGTTGCTAAAATTTCATATATCTACTACACTTACAGTTCTCAAAGCAAGTTTTTTCAATCCTGCTATTGTACTATGTATTGATTTATAAAATTATTTGACATTCTATCATTAAAATAGAGATTTTTTTTAAATTTGTGGTTGAGATCATTTAAATTGAAGTTCCTGAGTAGCAAATGCAGGTAATGATATTAATGTATTTACCTTGTATTCATTGAGTATTTTTATCTGTCAAAAGGAGAAGACTTGTCCTCCTTTCCCTTATACCGCCTCTTTCTTTCCAACAAAATTTGTTTAATCCAAAACTAAAGGACTAAAAAGTAAAAATAAAAATTGCCACTGTCTTAGTTTCATATTTGCATATTATATTTTGCAGAAACTGTACCAAGAGAATACAACCCAGCTAGCTGATTCAGCAACAATTACACCATCTAGCAACAATCTGATCAGTACTAAAGAGCATGTTTTGGTCTCAGACTCTCCAATTCGTTCATCGCCTCTACGATTAGATTCTCCCAAGTCTTCTGGTCAGAAGATATTCTCCAACATGCAATTTTCTTATCAGGACCTTAAGAGTAGGAGAGAGAAGACTTTTTCTTTGATGCAACCCAAAAATAACAGAAACGGAAAATATAATGGCCAAAGGTTTTTATTTCAGTAGTCTCTTTATAAAATCGGAAAATCATACATATATGCTTACTCTTTCTCATAATTATATTTAGTCACTATACGGCTGCAACTCTGGAGCTTTCACAGCCAGAAATTGAACAGCAGAAAGAAAGGTATTTGGCAGCAGCAGCTACCGAACTGGAAAGATTGTTCAAGAAGGAAGACTTCAGCAGAATGAAGGTTGTTTGTTAGTATGATTCATTTTGTTTATTATTTATAATAAAATTAGATGTCACTGTGCCGATTAGTTGTCCAAATGTCAATACTAATGCTATTTAGTTACTAGTTAAGTGCAACTAAATTGTTAGGCCTTTCTAAGTTTTTTTTATCCACCGTAAAGCCTAATCAATTTTTTGGAATACAAAATCTGCATATTTAATCTATCATACTAAAATCATACTTGAATCTTTAACTGGTCAATTATTCCTACATTTTCAGATTAAATGTATCATGTTTTTATTTGCTATTGCTTTAATATTAAGTTTTAACAGGTGATAGGACAATTCAATCTTGGATTCATCATTGGTAAATTGGATCAAGATTTATTCATTGTGGATCAGGTAACTTCCACTATGTTTTCGGAATTACATATTCTGCAATCTGCAGTTTCTTACATCAACCTGCTGAATGGTTCCATATAAATGCATTATTTTGCTTAATTTCATATCCCTTTTTATGAAAACATAAATTGTGATGGAGAGTAATCTATTTTCAGCATGCTGCTGACGAGAAATACAATTTTGAGTGTCTGTCCCAATCAACCATATTGAACCAACAGCCTCTACTTAGGTGAGAAATTTACACTATTATTCTGTTACAATCATTATACGTAAGTAGTATTCGTTTTTCCCACTCTGAACTTGAGGGGACTGTCAATAAAAACATGGTAAAGCTGTAAAAGGAAATTACTTATTATGCTGCAAATATGTGGCGAAGATAAAGGACTTGTCAGGTTCAAGTTCCAAAGGATGCTTAGAGTATAAGTTTTGATTGTAAAAGCACAGCCACTTGATGCAAACAGACACTATATTTAGATGACACTTAAAGTAATTTTTTTCTCCTCTATTTATTTGTTCATGATCTAAATTTTACTAAAAAAAATCCATATGTAGGCCAATAAATTTGGAGTTATCCCCCGAGGAAGAAATAGTTGCTTCGATTCACATGGACATAATCAGGTATAACTAGAGCCGTATTTATTTAGTGGTGATATGTTGATTTTCTTTTTATGGATTATTGTCAGAAACTAGATTTCATTATCAGGATTCTAATATCAATCCTGCATCATCAGTCAGACTGTTAGTATTTCTTGTATACTATAGCCTGTAACAGAAATGATGTTGCGCCATGTTCTTTTAATCACTTGTTTAATTAGATTGATTGTCATATGAGTTGTTTCAGATTATCAGCTTTGACCTGTGCTGCCTTAATTGATAATGAATAGATAATTTTAATAATAATTCAAAGATATATTGAATTAAAAAAAAATCAGACATGTGTTATATTGGATTTATTATATATTTGATTATTACTGAGATTCTTAATCATGTGAAGATGCAGATACAAGATTTTATATATTTAAACCACCAAATAACTTATCGAATTTGACTTTGTATGACATATTTGGAATGTATGATGCCCGTTAATCTTAAGATGCACTAGTGATGTGCTCACTGCTGAGAAAAGAGAATGTCTTTCCAAAACTTCTCAAGTTGGCAAAGTTTGCTGACTCGCATGTAGAAACAAAGGTCAGAGCTATGGACTTTGAACTTGAGAGCCCCCAAATTGTTCAACTAGTAGCTGTTTGCTGTAAGCTAATGTTTTTAAAAATGGTTGTGTGGTGTGTCAGCTATAAATGCTGCACGTTAGAAATTAAAACTTTTGCACAATTTGTGAAAGGTTGTTGGAAATGCTATTAAATTTAATTCAGTATCTCTTACAGTAAGATACATTTTTTCTGTGGAGGTTATACTTGAAATTGAGTTCAATTTTCTAGATGCAATATTTTATGCCTTACTTTTGTCTTCTTTTTTGCATCTTTAAGGGTCTATGTAGTTAATAACACATATTTGCATTATATCTGTTTTTCAGGAAGAATGGATTTACTCTGGAAGAGGATCTAAATGCGCCACCTGGATGCCGTTATAAATTAAAGTCTGTCCCCTACAGTAAAAACACTATGTTTGGAGTTGAAGGTAGAATATTTGAATTTTGTGGATTTTATGTTTGATTAATTTAAGGATTCTATCTATCAGTTAAGTATTCTCCATGCAATGATACTCTTTTTAGTTTTCAAACTTTGCATTAATTTTGGATGATGGTCCACGCCAAGCTGAAAAGTCTAGCTGACTTACATGGCTTTAGTTAATTTTGGATGCCATTCACATGGGCTAGTATCTAGAGGATGATAGAAACTTGTATCTTTATTGATAAATTTAGAAGACAAACAATTAATTTACTGCACTGAAATATTGGAAATTCTGTTCCAGGAACAGAGGACCATAGATGTTACAAGAAACTCCAGAATTGAAAACAAAATTAGAGAAAAGAAAATGAAGGTTTTCGGTTACAAAGTGGTTCCCTTCCAAGAATTGGAGAGTTTGGTCTCTCTCCCTCCCGAAACCAGTCCCAGAAATAACTGCCTAGCCTCCATTTCTTTTTCTTTCCCTATTTATTTGAATGACAGGCAGTTACAAGTAACATAATTAAAATTACAAACTGACAACATAAATTCAGCTCATTGGCCTAGGCCTCCTCCTATTTTATTTATTAATGAGGTCTAACAGAGGACATTTAAGGATCTTAACAATTATGGACATCCTTTAGGAAGTTAAGTGACACTCACATTGTGGTTAAACTTGAGTTAAGCCCTCTCCCCCTTAATGGTTTTTGGGTTCTAGCTTGCTTCACCTTAGAAATCATTGTGATGCTTGTACTAGTGTCCTTTGAATTGGGTTTTTGTTCATTCTATGATACCAATGTTTTATTTTATATTTTCAAATATGCCCTTGGTCCTAAGTATGGATCTAAACATTGACATGTGCATATTTGAATATTGTGAATGGCAAGGGCACTTCTTTTGCTTAAAAATTATTTTTTGCTATCCAAATCATTAATTCGTTGAAGATCCATGTCATAGAGGTTCTATGGTGTAGTGGTTAGCACTCTGGACTTTGAATCCAGCGACCTGGGTTCGACTCCCGGTAGGACCTTTCTTTTAAATCCTGCATTTTGGTAGTTTTGCTATGCATAGCCGGTCCCAAGACTGGATAAAAGGATTTTGTCGAATCTCTATGACACGAATCAACTACAAATTAATGATTTGGATAGAAGCATGGTTCTAGATAGAACATTATGGCGAAAGTTGATCCATGTATTGAATTGAAGGTTATTATTAAGAAATAAAAACTGTATTCAGTGATTAATGAAAACTATTTTTATGGGGAAAGTTGATCCATGTATTGAATTGAAGGTTATTATTAAGAAATAAAAACTGTATTCAGTGATTAATGAAAACTATTTTTATCCCAACAGATGTTAAGGATCTGATCTCAACCCTATCTGATGGTGATGGTCATGGCGAATGTTCCATAATTGGTAGTTATAAACAAGATTCCACGGATTCAGTTTGCCCTCCAAGAGTTCGTGCAATGTTGGCATCTCGAGCATGTCGATCATCAATTATGATTGGTGATGCACTTGGAAGAAATGAAATGCAGAAGGTAGTAAAACACATTACTTTTAGCATAGCCCCTTGCCTTAATTAAAAACACATACCTACCTTCTCTAGCTACTGGTTTAATGAAACAGTAAATGTAAAGGAAATTGAATTTTTATATTTCACCCCTACATACTGAGTTTTTAGCTTTCTCTAATTGTTTCAGATACTTGAGCATTTGGCGGAGCTGAAATCCCCATGGAATTGTCCCCATGGCAGGCCGACCATGCGCCATTTAGTTGACCTTACCAAAGTTCACAAAATGCAGATGTAATTAATTTCTGGCTTTTGCTCCAAGTTTCATTTATATTGGAAGTTAAGGGATCATGTAAATTTTTTGTACCAATTCAATGTACATAACATTTGCTCTCAAAATTTTAAATTTAATAGTGGGATGTCTTGAGTATCGTTGCATAAGCATGCCTGGTATGCTGGGTTTTTATTTGACAGTCTTTCAACTTGACGTTGTGTTACCTTGCTAATGGTCTCTACAAAATTCTATGGACCCCGATTCATTCTTGCTGTTTCATTATTGGACTTTCTGTTTTCATCTTAGTGTTTGCATCTGGCCTTTATGATTAGTGCTATTTTATTGATAATTGCCATGAAGAAAATCAGTGGATTAGTTAGTTTTGTGGGAATGCATATAGGTGTTGTTAAATTCACCATCTTGCTTAAAAGTGTTGTAAAATTCACCATCTTGCTTAAAAGTGTTGTAAAATTCACATGTATAAGTCTTCACCTATGAGGCTGTGTGCGCTTATTGTGGCATTACCATTAGCCAAAGGACTTGAGTGGTAGCCATCCATTTCAATTATTTTTTTGTTGAAGCTAAATAAAGCATTTGTTTGCCTTGAAATTTGTATTAATAACTTGATATTGATACATGTGAATTTAATTAGAAAGTTTGTGTGGCGCGACTAGGGGTGAAATAGTTTATGTAAACATTGTAATAAGGTTGAGCAGGGTTTGTGCAATCGCTTCTGTTCGCTTAGATAGGATGGCCATCGGTATGTCGGTCATACGAGGACAATCACTCAGGAATGGTTAGAATCATCTTTGCCTGTGAGTATCTCTCTGCTCGTCATAACGGCTAGTTCCTAGTATCTCTGCCCGTATTGACCAATTCTTGATAGTTACCTAATTTTGAGGAACCTAATATCTTGGTCCATAAATAAGAACTAATGGCCAAGTGCCGGGTGTTGTACCCCAAAATCCGCCTTTCTATTTTCTTCAAGACATTCTTCTAGGATTCTCAAATGCTCAAGGATGTTTAAGAGTTGATCAGACAAATTCTCTTCTTAAGCAATGGATCTACAACTAGGGTTTTATCTTTTTCAAGGAAGTTTGGGTTTCAAATGACTCAAGTGATTTTCATGGTTCTCCATAGGTCTTCAACAATGTTCATGTCAAGTTTCAAGTCTTGCATCACAAGTTTGCTCAGTCAATGACTCATATGGTTGAAAATCAACTGTATTGGATAAAAAGTCAACTATGGTTAACATACAGTCAAACTTCAAGATTTTTGGTCAACATCAACATTTTGAAGTGATATTCATCATTTGATCAAGGGTTGATCATGATTCCTCAAGAAAAACCCTCAAATCATCAAAAGTCAAAAGTTGCCAAATTAGGGTTTCCTTAAGAGAAGTCAACAGAACTTTGACCAAGCGTAACTTTCAAATGCTTCATCAACTTTTCTCCAACCAAAGCCCATTTTGAAGAAAATTCAATTCTCTATAATTTTGTATTTAGTCCAAAAAGTGCTTCATTTGAGAGATATGAGCCCATACATTATAGGTCATTTCAAAAGTCAACAAAAAGACAATTTTTGTCAAGACAACTTACATCAAGGTAAAGTCTTCAAATGCAAAAATGATCAAAATATAAATTGAAGAGAACATCTTGAGCTTTCCAAAAAGTTCAAGATCACCTTCAAAAGATGAAAATTGAGAGAGTTATGACCATTGCAAGTTGGGAAATTTTGGTAGAATGCATGAATTCCAAATTAAGCAAACATGTGATTTTGAGCTATTGCGCCTAACTTTTGATGCTCAAACATCTTCACAATGTGTTAGAGGATCTCTAAATCCATTCACATATTTTTTATGATTTTTATTTCTTTTGTTTGAATTTTTTTAAAATACAAATAAATCAAATAAAATATAAAATCATCGGGCAAAGCGCATGATTGGTTTTTTGGATCAGTTGGAGGCCAAAGACAACTCATGACAACCACGAAAAACCGTGTAAGTTCCAAAAATAGCAAGTACATCTCAAAATGGAAGCTTAAAAAACATGTTTGATTCTTGTTTAATGTTGGCCATAGTTACATGATTTTGTACCATTCTTGTTGCCCTAATCCTACCTCTATATAAGCACAAGAGATCAGATGCAAGGGGAACACACATCCTTGCCTCAAGAATTGCAAAAATCATCTAAACTTTCTCAAAAAAAAACCTGAGTTTCAAAATTCTCGTTACAAGCCTTCTCACTGTGAAATCTTCATTCCAATCACTTCCAGGAATATTGAAGGGTAGGTTTAGATCAATTACCATGATCCTAAGCATGTGAAACTGTATAGCATGGCATAACCGACCTACATTTTTTTGTTGCAAATTCGTAGCTTTGATTTTGTCTTGTTTTAAACAGATTTGATGCTACTAATGAGTTTCTGAGACATGTTTGAACATGTTTGGATCAGTATTGTGATCCCATGCAGTCAAAACCATGAGATACCATAGTTTCTCCGATCAGTTTCATTTGGTTCAAAACTCATGATACAAGGACCTATAGCCAAAACTAAGTCCATATTCGGATTTAGGAGGGTCGAATTATGGGTACTAGTATATTTTTGATCACTAACATGTTGAATTTGCAGGTTTTGTATCTTACAGGTTGCCGGAGAAGACGATCGGAGCTAGGGCTTCGACACCTCTCTGGCCATTAGCATCACACTTCATATTTATTCTTATGTTTTGATTTATGTTAGCTGATGTAAGGCCGCCCCAGCGGTAGAAGCGAGTATTGCAAAGGCGTTAGTGTACCAGGGCACGGGTTCGATCCTGTTTACCGTGGTTTTTGGTAAACAACTGATGATCCTCCAAAAAGGAAAACCCTTCTGGTTACTCGCGGGATCGATCAGATTGATCCCAAAATATATGCTAACTTTTATACTAGGTTTATGTAAAATAAGAAAAGAAATCCAGGAAGAACGCACGTTCGACCAAAGACAGGATACTTGTGATTTTGGAAAGTAAGAAAGTTAATAGAAATGCAGGTAAAGATGCAGGAAAAGTAATTTTACAAAATAAGATTAAAGTAATGTAAAAAAAACTTTATTAATGAAAAGTGGTGTTTCCAACGTACATTTCTCAGTTTATCCTTTCTCACACAGCGGATTACTTGGACAATATTTGAGTAACTAGAATAATAGGTTGAACACACAAAAAAACTACACAGATTTCCTAATTTATACTAAAAACTATGTAACCGTCGATGGGTGGTTCTACGCTAAGATGAGGACAAGTGTTCTCTGCATGTCCCTCGACCTCTAGCTTCCAGCCACGTTGCTTTCCTCTGGCTACTGGAGAAACCGTCTTTCCCTTCAATAATTAAAATTCAAATGTCCCTCGCCTTTGGTGTCGACGCGAGGGTATTCTCTTCTAGTCGAAGGTCATAAGACCTTCTCAGTCGAAATCTTGATAGTGAGTCCTGGTCGAAGACTAAAATATAACTTAGATATTTTCTCTAAGTTATTTCACACGTCGAAACATTCTTCAGTTTGGTTTTATTTATTCCAATTTTGGTCTAAAAGACCAAATATAGTAGGTGTCGAATTCAGGAGCCAACAAATTGCCCCCAAAGAATGTCTATTTCGACGCCAAAAGAAATAGCCATTCTTTGATCTTTCCGTTCGACACCTGTCTCTCTTGCTGTCCACAAAGGCCTGATGTGCGCTTTTCGTCTTCCAACAGCTGCCGCTTTCGAAAACCCATCATTACTCTTTTTTCCAAGACGTCTTTTCCAACTGCCGTTACCACGCTGCCATGATGACCATATTCCTAGAACCTAGGCAAGCATGTCAAAACGTTTCCCATCATCTGCACGGTAACCGCTTCATGGTCCGCCACGTGCCCCACTATCTTCATAGCATTAAATGGCTTTGACGAGACATATCCCTCTTTGAAGGCTATAAATACTCTTGAGCCTCTTCATTTGGAACTTTCACAACTCTAAGTATTTCCAAGTTTTCTGCTTAAAACACCTTGCATTGTCAACTTCGCTTCTTTCAAATCTGCAAAAATGGCTTTTCCTTTCTAATGCACCAAACAACCCCAAACCTAAAAATGCTGCTGATATCCCAAGCCAACCAGAGATCTTTCCTACCAACCCTTCTCCTGCTTTGACTGATGGGCTACGGTTCGTTTATGAACCCATGACTAAAGAAAGGCGAGAAACGTATGATTCCCAGCTTCTCATTCCCATTAGGTACTCTGAAGACATATACGCTATGTCTGGTCCTCTGTCCACATGCATCGAGAATCCTATGAAGAACCGTGCCTTCTTCCCTACTCATCCAAGACTTAAACCTATAGGCTGTGCGAAGAAGCCTAGGGACGATCTTGAGGACGCAACTCTGGCTAACCAGCAACATACTCAGACCACGGAGGACATTAATCTTCAATTTATGAACAAAGGGACCAGGATCTTTCGATCATGCCCTAATATCTCTTCAGAGTATTCAGATTGGTTAAATAAGGTGGAGAAGGCGCAAACCTCTGTCTGGAAAGACATGGGGATTTATGATTTGGTGATGCTGTCGAAGACAGGATTGTCTTACTTTCCTCTGATGTTGGTGTCTTCGCTATATTTCTGGGATAGCGCCCACTTCACATTTCATCTTCCCTGTGGGATGGTAACCCCAACCCTCTTCGATATAGCAGCAATCACTGATCTTCGATCGACTGATAATTATTTTGACCCAGAGGACCTATCTGAGGATGCTATTGGGTTTTCAGCTACAAAACCTACCTACACCACCTTCATCAACCACTTCCATGATAAATCCTCCAGTACTGTGTCGGAGGTGGAACATATAGATTTCCTGGCTATGTGGTTATCCCGTTTTTTCTTCTGCACCAAGTCGCTTCAGGTGACTAAGAAAATGCTCACGCTCGCGACGCAACTTCATCATGGCTACCCCCTCTGTCTGGCCGAATTGATTTTGGCCAATCTATATGAGTCCATCAGCAATGGTGTGACTCAACTCAA